ACTCGCCCGAGTAGACCTTCGTGTGTGTCGGCCAATGGTTTTCCTACACAGCCCATTGTATTTACGTAAAAAAAAGGGTCGGGGGCGAGGGGGTCTTGTGGAAGTGCGCGGTATGAACCTGGTCCGCTGATACAACATGTGGGCTGACTGTTGATGCTGTAGCCCCTACATCCTTTTTAAAAATAATTGCATTTTGTTGAACGGGAGGAGAAACTACGAGGTTGGATCAAACATTTTTTTACATCATACTAAATTATCTTGAGTGGGAAGAACTGCAGTTGTGTTAAAATAATTGCGGCTGTTAAAAATTCAACTTTGTCGTGAATTCTTCAGGAAAGGGGCAAAAAATTAGGTGAAGATTCTTGAAATATTCAATACTGTTTGAAAAACAAGTGGGCAATTGTATTTTTTATAAATGAGTATAGTTATTGTTGATAATAAATTAGCAATTTGCTTCCGAATGGGTTTTTTTCTTTTTTTAATTCTGATTTTACTATTGTGTTCTATTTTTACATGTCATAGTACAATTATCAATTGAAATGTCATCAAAGGTTTGAAATGAACCACTTAATCACTGCGTTCTTTTTAATTCTGACATGAACGACGTGATAATAGACTGTGGGATTGATGGAAATAAAAGGAAATGTAGCGTAGAATGCAGGGTTGTATGAAACAATGAAAATCATTGAAATCACAAAAAAACAATAGAGTAAATCCAGGTGCACAAATACACCCTATATGGAACAGAAATATCCTGAATCCGGTATGTTATATTCTGGATTCCGGAATAATCAAACCAGATGTTCATAGGCACTATGACAATTTAATCATTCACAGTAAAAAGTCTGGTCTGGACTTCTTGGGACACTGTTTGGTGTTTGGTGAAAAAAAATTATTTCTGACAGACGGGTAATTTTTTCCAGTATTAAATGAAATTGCCTGTTGTGCGACGTTGCCGAAGTCTCGCTAAATGCGCCCGGGCAGTATAGAGTGAATTCGGCAACGCTCGGGCCTAAATAACACGGCGGCGATTCCCTACGGAGGAGAACCAAAGTCGCAAGTTCTCATATGGTGACCAAACTTAGGGTTAACAACGTAATTTTAACACCGCAACTCCACACCAAAAACGGTGTAGACTCATTCGGACACCGATCGGTGTCAACTTAACACCAAATTTTTTACAGTGATGTTGTGATCTTAATTCTCCACTATCTCCACGGTTTTATTTATATCTATTGGAGATAAATACCAATGAATATCAATTCCTTAATAATATTCCGTAATTCAGGATCATACTTCATCCTCAATTCAGGAATAATTCCGCAATTCGAAATATTCAATTCTCGATTCCAGAATAATATTCCGGAATCCCGGATATGTTATTCTCAATTGCGGAATAATATTCTCGCATTGAAATATTGTACGTTGCGTCTATCAGATATGGAATGTGCTGACGACGCGCCTTCCGAATTTAAGTGAGATCGGGCAATAATCACGAGGGGCACACGGAAAGAAATATTGAATAAAAATTACGTATCTTTTCCGTAATTCCGGAGCGAAATATAGTTGTAGAAACTTTTACGGAACTGTCACGGAATTTATCCTGAGAGTTCCGTAATATTTATCTGAATCTGTGAAAAATTACGATATCGTCACTTAAATTTTCTGCGATTCCGTAATCGGTGAGCGAATTGTAAGTTCCGTAATTTTTACTGAACATTTCTCTCTATGCACTCAGGGAAGTATTTTCATACGTTCTTTCTCCGCGGATTCGCCCTTTCGGCTGCCAATTGGGGGTTTTGTGAATTATTAACGGGTTTCAAGGGGCAATTGGTCGTATTGTGAGACATTCTTTCGGAATTTTTGAATTATTATTGCCACCAGCAATTTCCTGAAGAGTTTGAAGCTGCTGGGAGGTCATTGAGCTCCTCACTCTGAGGACTGCTCCGACTTACTACACGAGGTAGAGGTTTTGGGAGGCTGCAAACTTGCACTTCGTCACAGTGTAATTGTGTCACGTCTTTCTTGTCCTTTCCTTTTTCCTCTCCTCTTCGAATCCTCAATTGGACTTACACTGTCATCCAGGGAATGAATTTATCCCAATATCGACTGAGAATCTATTTGAAAATTATATATACTGGATTTCGAAATATCATTCCGGAATTGAAGATACAGTATTTGGGATCCCGGGATAATATTCCGGGATCGAGAATAAAATATCCTCAATTCCGGAGTCTTTGAAATCCGGCAATATGTACCAGAAATTTCAAATGAAGAAATGGCTAGGAGCCGGATAGCTCAGTTGGGAGAGCATTTAATATGTTGATTGCTGGAGTTAATATAATTATTCTTTTATTTTAGATCACGACAATCAATATTAATATTAAAATTATAAAACTTCTGATAATTTCTTTCTATAAGTTAAATAGATTCGAAATACCAGAAGTCTCATTCCCCAATACCCTGTTATGATAATTATGATCATCAATTAGCATTCGCTTATCATAAAATTTTTTCTTTTTTCTTTTACCCCTCTCTGTGCCAATAATTTAATGCCTTCTTTTTTAAAACACAGCGCATCTGACTCATTTGAATTTTTTTTTGGGCATAATAGTGGCAAACAAATAGTGATTGCATGTGACAATGCGGATAATTAAAGGAAAAAATTTTTCTTCAATAGTTATTTTATTAATAGATAAAATAGAGAATTAAAATCCTCTTAATAAAGTCCAAACTCGAGAGCTGCTATTCAGCCATAAGTTTATATATTAAATCTAAATACTGTACATTAATTTCTTCTTAACTAGTTTTTATATATGTAAAAATATTGTAAATAAATTTTGTTATCTGAATGAAGACACTGTTTAAACAAAAAAAAGGAGAGCGCTCGATGCAAAATTGCCCGATTGAGAACAATCCCGGTTCCCCTCCTACCTCATCCAAATCCCATCTCATCATTTCCTATGGCGTCACAAAGATGTGGAACGTTACATAAATTCCCTTCTTTAATGTAAAAAGAACCAAGAGCCATAGAGTTTTTCGAGAATAAAATATCCTCAATTCCGGAATATTATTCCGGGTTCCGTAATATAATATTCTAAATTCCGGGATACTATTCTGCATTCCGGCATATTATATCCCCGATTTGAGGATATTTTTTTTCGTGTATACACTGAGAAAAAAAAATTCTAATATCTGAAACATATTTTCTTAAGACAAGTAAATTTTCTTCAATTGCTTAATTCTCTCGGGCATCTCAACTCACATGACTCACTTGTACTCAAGTATGATTTTGCCGCAAATGAACTTACTTAAATCGCGTAGAAGAATCATCAATATTCTAGTCTTTATTGTTTTCATGATTTTATCGTTATGCACTTCCAATATTGCAATATGTAAAAAATATTCATGACGCGGAACGATAGTGATGAATGAAAATTCATTCGAGTTCCGTGAAATGCACACATTCTGAGATTTAAGCCATTGAAAATAATTTACTTCTCTCAAGAAAATATGTTTCAGATATTAGAATTTTTTTCTCAGTGTAACTGATAATAAACTAAAACTCATTCCCTTCACGGCCTTTTTATTCTCCCATTTTTCCTCGTTTTTGATTCATTCACTAAAGTTTTCATTTAATTCAAATGAACCATTTAATCAATGCATCGATTTCAATTCTGGAATAAAAAAAGTGATATTAAACCCTGGGATTGATGGAAATAATAGGAAAAATATTGCAAAATGAGTAGTGGTATAAATTTTGTTTTTATGTGAATTTAAGGATTTAAAATCCTTAAAATCACATAAAAACAAAACAATAAATTCACGTGCAAAAATACGCTTCAAATCTGGTTATAAACTGAACCCGATCTCCTCTACATCTCTTCCATTCTCCCATTTTTCCCCGGTTGTGATGCATTGATCAAAGTTTTCATTTGATTAAAATGAACCGTTTAATCAATGCATCCATTTCTAGTGATGCCGCGAGACACTCTGCGAGACAAAACTTTGGAGAAATGATCTCGGTCTCAATGAACCCGAAAATCTTTGCTCTCGTCTCAGTCTCGAAATACGCAGTATCGACTCCTTTCGCGATGATTCCGAGTCAATTTATATGGTCTCGGTGTCAAGTTTTTCGTGTTTTTTAATGTAAAATCTCGGTTTTTGTCTCGGCTTGTCTCGTCTTGGTTTTCTACATATAAAAAATGCGAAAAACTGGAAGCCGAGATGAGATAAATTGACTGGAAGTCATCACGAGAGAAGCCGACACTGCGTATTTCTAGACTAAGACAAGACCAAAAATTTCCGTGTTCACTGAGACCGAGGCAATCTCTCCAAAGAATTGTCTCGTGATGTCTGGTGAAATGTCTCGCGGCATCACTATTCATTTCAATTCTGAAACAAACAAAGTGATAATAATCCGTAGGATTGATGGCAATAGAAGGCAAAATACACTGCTAGAACGGATTAGTTATTGTTAACGAATGGATTTTGGTGGGAGGTTAGGGTCTATTCGGTCTCATCACAGGTTCATTCGTTAATAGTTAACGAATGTATATTTGAGGAGCCTTGTTTGACTTGACTTTCGCCATTCAAGTGAACCATTCGTTAACTATTAACGAATATTCATTTGGTCATATTCAACTCTACCAGTCGTTAATAGTTAACGAATCTTGTTTGGAATAAATGAATCATTCTATCAGTGTATCGAATAATGAATGGTGCTATAAAACGATCAAAATCCCTGAAATAACAAAAAAACAATAGATCCAGGTGCCAAAATACTGCGCACACCTGGTAATAAACCAAAACCCATCTCCTCCACATCCTTTCCATTCTCCAATTTTTCTCCCCGATTTTCTCTTCCGAGCAATACGAGGAGCCTATCCATTAGCAGGGAGGCCCCCGGGGGTAGCTCATTCCCGTGTTATATGCTACAGCAGGCTCGCTCGTGGGTGCGTTTTGTCATTCCCGGGTGCCCCACCATAACAACTGCCCGTATTCCCGCTTCACGCTTTATGTTTGACAGAGCTGAATGCCTCTCATAGCAGTCGAACGGTGACACTTGCCGAGAGCGGCCAAAGACCACTGTGAATCCCAGATCGTGACAGAGAGATAACGTGAATCATCTCTCTCATAAATCGATGGATAATTACTCGTGTCAATAAAAACATCAGCATTCATTCCATCATTTGCGAACAAATTGTTGGAAAAATATATCGTTTCTGCGCATTTTTTACTTATTTTCGAGTGCTAAAAATTTAATGGAGTGACTAAGTGGTAGTTAAGTGGTATCTCCTCCTAGTTTTTTGTGTCACTTCCATGGGATTCTGCGAAGTCGAGCGGATGTACTCGCTTTGGAATAATTTATTGGCTCCAGCTCGGCTTTTGATTCTTGCAGAAGTCACCGACGTCTCAACAATTTCAAAAGACTTCATGGAGTGATAAACATGAATGGGTGTTATCAGTGACGATTTTATTCGCGAATACAATTGGTGAAATAAACAATTGAAATTAAAAAGCTTTCTTTTTTAAAAAGACGACTGGAATATTTTGATATTAAGGTTTAAATGACTAAAAGTTAACTCGATTTAGTGGTCTGAGTAAAGTGTTTGGAGATAAGAGAAGTAAATACTTCATTGAAGGAGATTCAGGAGTGAGTACAACTGTTGGTTTGGTTGCACTTGTTCCTTCTACCCACATTTTGCTTCCGAATGGGGACTTTGTAATCATTGAAACGTGAAGATATGATGTTTTTAGACAATGTGTTTATGTATGTCCGACTGCGTGTGCGAAGTTTTCGGAAAATTTTTAGAAATCTTCACGGAAAAAGAACTAAAGTTGAAGCTAAAAATCTGAAATTTTTCCACATAATTAGTTAATACCAATGATATGAGAAAATTTATATTACTCAATTTAAATTACTTTGGAACACTTCCGGGCGCAATTTTCGCTGAATCGATCTAGTAATTTCCGAGATACAGCAATTTCTCAAAAATCTTTTTTCCTTATTATCTCGAAAACTGCGTAACTGAATTGAATTTTTTTGACGTCAAAGTATTCCTCGTGATAATGTCTATCACATCAAATCATAATATTGCTATGTAACTAGGGACAGTTTGGTAATCATCGGCATTTTTTTTATGAGGGAATTGAAATTTGGTGAGATTGTAGCTCCTGTGATATTACAGGATGAGATTATGGTAGGGTAAACAGGTCAATTTCTGGACGGGGGTTAGTTTCTGGATGATTTCAACTTGCATTGAATATTCCACAAATAAAATGAAAATTGTATTGATTATTTTTGGTAATCGGATCTGGCCTTCCCTGGACCAATAAGAGTTCAGTATTCAATAACATGAAGTACTTCCCAATTAAAATTACAGCGGTTATTTCCCCCTAGCTTTTGATAATTTCCTTGTAGCTTTTGCAATAACTGTCAAATAACTGTCAAATATTATCCTGTGGAGTGAAAGAAAGTCATGAAGAACGTCAAAATGAGTCGGTTTGGGAAGGATCCGATTACCAAAAATAATCCGTCGAATACCACTCGACCTCCAAAATTAATCGGACATTTCCCTCATGTTTTCCTGCATATCAACGATCGGGAAAAGTTTCGTACAAAATTTTAAATATCGCATTTTATCTTATAAAAATTCTTCCTCTCGTTGCTACGCAACTCGTGGTATTACTACTGATTATTTCACCTCTCCATAATATCACTTGTGTATAATCATGTGATCAATTATTTTCTTCTATTGATCAACATTTAATAAATAAATAAAAATATGACCCCGTCCAGAAATTGAGGGTTTCGGTAACATTCAACTATTTCTCAATTTGATTATTCTTTTTTTTATTATTTTCACTTTAGACAATTTTTTTCTGCTAATTAAAACATTCTTGACGGTATGGAAGCCATCATATCCCCATTTAGGTGATTCTTTTATTTTGGTTCCTACCACGAAACTCGAATTTCCTTTAATCATCCAGCAATTGGCCTGGTCACCCTACACTGATAGAAAGTATTAGTTATTGTTAACGAATGGATTTGGTTGGAGACGGGGGTCTATTCGGTCTCACCAAATGTTCATTCGTTAACTATTTACAAATATTCATTTGGTCATATTCAACTCTACCATTCGTTGATAGTTAACGAATCTCGTTTGGAATAAATGAATCAGTCTATCAGTGTATGCGAATTCGGACAAGCGGTTTAGAAGATATTCAACTTTTTGTGAAAAACGGTTTGGCCCAATATCTCCCCAACTTCACAGAGAAAAATATATTCTTCTGACTCCATTGCATCACCATCGAATTATATTCAAAAAGTCCTCAACAATTTTTCATGGGTTACGGTAACTATGGCCGGAGAAGTAATTACTACAATGGAATGTAGTCATTGCAACTATTTTATAGTTCTACTCACGATAGATTTGTCGTGGTTATTTTTGAACTTTGGTTAGTTTAACTGCATTTTGATTTGCAAAAATTACGCTTGTGAAGTTACCATAATGTTATGTGCCGCATACAAAAAAAAAATCGTAGCGTTCACCAAAACTGCTTCAACTATTTTCTTATTGTAAATCGAACTTCAGATTTTTCTCTCAGTGTACTGGTCCGATTTTAATTTTATTTCCTTTTCAAAATACTCATCTTGTTTTGTCATCTGGAGACATGACCCGCAGAATCTTTAAACGTTTACACGTGTCCTTGGGGGCGACTGCCCTCAGGATCGTTTATCACTGGGTGCCGAAGACGTTCGATCCTCCGGGCTGAGGGTTCGTGAGAACTTAGATCAGTGTAGAAATGAGGGATGGCGGGGAATAAAGGGGGGGGGGGGGATAAAAAGTTGAAGAAAGTTATGGGAATAATTTTTGTGTATTGAGTCGATTTATCTATGATTGATGGACATTTTGAGTAATTGCCACAATGAATTTATGAGGGTTCGATTAATTCAGTCGTTGGATAATTGTGAATGGAAGTTTTTAATTGTTTTGAAATGTAATCAAACGAATTTGTAGATTATTTTGGGAATTCTCTATGAGAATAATTGGTTCACAGCTTTTGAGACCTGTTTCGCGAAAAATTTTGTGGAATATGGAGAAGGTTTCGTGACTTTCTGGTGTTACTTATACATTCATGACGATTATTCCCATATTTCAAAAATTAAAAACTATTCCAAAAATCCTTAAAAGGGAACTATTATATGAGAATGTGATAAGATCATTGTTACGGAAAACTTTGTGCTCGTCAAAACGTTTTTTTTTAATTTCCTCTCAACCCATTGGTTTAAAAAAAGTCATTAAAAAACGTTCGATTTATCTCTTATTCTCCGTCAATCTAAATTCAACGAATCAAAAAATGGCTGATAATAGATCATCCGGGCTGAGGACTCATGAGAACTTTAATCTGTGGAGCGATTGTGTGACGGCGGGGG